TAGTGAACTCGAGTCGTCGCCCGAGGAAAATGCCGCGTACACATCATCTGTCCAGGAGGGATCGACTATGTCGACGAGGTAGTATGCCAGGCCGCCGATGAGAACGAGAGCGATGACGGTCTTTGTGGGGAACCGTGATTGAAGGAGGGTGTTGGATGGATGTGGTATTTGCTGGCGATCTGTCTGGACATTTTGCAGTGTACTATGTGCTCTGAGATACTCAAGCCGTTTGTGAAATTGCCATGTCTGTGAAAAGGCACGTGATGTTGCACTGTGTCGAGCGCGTCTCAGAGGCTCTGTACGTGGCCGAATTATGCTTTCTCCCGCTGTGAACGTGGATAACCGTCTAGCCAACTGGGTTTGTGTCGCAGAGTTGAGGCAAGCTGCCCTCCCCCATTGTCTTGGTATCATGGTGGTTATTTTGCTGATTAGCGACTTGGGCAGATTTGATGCTGGAAACTTCCTGTGGTACTGTAGATCAGAATGTGTGGTCTGTGCGTCCATGCCGATCGCCCACTCACGTGAAGCGGCCGGGTAGCGCCCGTAAGACGGTTGAGCGACACAGGGCATCAACTAGAAATACGGGTCTAAATGGGGCCCTGCAGAAGGACCCGGACATTTGAACAATGCCCTGTGCCCTCGGAATAGGCAAGATCTTCTGTGAGCAGATGTTCATGTTCCAGCATACAGAAAGTGGGTTGGAAATTCTAAGAAGCATAATATAGTTGATTGATAGACTCTTTGTAAAGGATTGGGTATCGTCGTTACTGGGTTGTGTAACTCGCGATAAAAAACAAAGTACTTGAAATTCCCCTTCCCAAAATCAAAACGCGGACAAACACCTGCCAAAGACGCCAATGAAATTAGTGACAACGATCAACAACAAGATTATCGAATCAGAAACAAAAGGCGGCCTGTCCTTGCGATCCAAAAAAGCGTTGAAAATATTCCTCCCTGTGTTCAGTCGGTGGTGTATCAGTCTCGTTCTATCATAACATGCCATACAATGTGTTGCCAATCTCTCCAGTGTGCCAGTTTGTGTACCGACGATAAGAATATCTGACGATGGACGGGCTGCGTTTGACGATAGCCAGGCAGCTCACATCTCGGTCCAGTGCTTATCTTCAATGCGGTCCACCTCTTCGTAGTGCCTTTGCTTCTTCTCTTTCTTTTTCGTATCATTGTTCTTTCGTCGGAGCATCAACTTCATCTTGGAAGCTAGCCTCCCAAAGGCCGCTGATGTGGGGGTGCCGCCGTTTTGTTCACCTGGCTTCTCGTCTGCGCTCAGTTCGATATCTTCGCACTTTGGAGGGTAGTTTTGTTGAGACAGATCTGCTAATTTGAACTCGGTCGGCCGGCTGATGTGCCTCGCCTCTTTGGTGTGATGTGAGTATAGAGACATGTTGGAGGAAACCTCCTTGGTACCGACGGCTGATGCCATTGACTGAGATACAACAGAGGTGGGCTTTTGCTTCGGCTTGGGTGGTGCCTTGACTGGCAATGGTTTGAGCATGCGCCATACCGGCTCTCCAGGACTGGCGGGCTCGGAAGACGAAGATGTGGGCCGAACAAGGAGTACTGAAGAGTTGTTCCATTCAGTGCCGATCCTCGGTGAATAGGCTGGGGTCGATGGTTCTGAATCGATAAAGGTGCCAAAGGACTTGGCCGACATTGGTGGTGGAGACATTGGACCTGACATGTCTGGTGTCATAGGAGTGTGAGCGAGGGTGGGAGGAGGGAAACTCTTTGCTGAAAAACGATGTGGTCGTTCCGGTGACATGGTCCGCGGCGGCTTTGGCAGGCCATGTGTGGATAGTGGTCTGTGAACAGTGTTGCCCAATGAGGCCGGGGACATGTCAGGGGACGGCACGGAAAGCGTAGCCATGTCTATGGAAGGGTTATCGTGCCAAGTATGTGACAAGCTTTTCTGTGGACGTTGGCCTGAAATGTGCAGAGGCGTAATGATGCCGTCTGATGAGACGCGCGACACGAAAAGAAAGTACGGCAATGGCGGCGGCGAAGGATGTGTAAAAGAAGGCAGCACCCGAGTGCATAAGCAAGCAGCGAAGGAATAGTATTGCGGCACAGCCTTGGTTCCGGTCAAGTGGGTAAAGTCAAGCAGGATAGGAGAAGAGAGACTGCGCCGCACAACAAAACATGACGATAACAGAGGACTGGGAACCGGTACCACCTGAGGGCCTGCAGGCTACACTTTTGCTATATGAATGCACCACACTCGCGTCATGGACGGCGTGACGGTGCGTACTACACCCATTAGAGCTGTTCGAGTATGGCAGAATAATCATGCCATGCTAGTGGCGACGTTAAGCTACGGCGTGCGCTTGAACGCGATTCAAAGTTTCGAGAGCCGCCTGTAATAGCCCCGCCGTCGGTACATGGTGTGGAAAGCTTCTGGAGGATGGAGGACGTTAGGTGTATGGCCGAGTTGGGAATAGATGGGCAGGCCAACACCCAGAGGCGCCAATGTCGCCTTTCAATTGGACAGCAGTGGCCCAGCTGCATCGACCTCGCCGCAATTTTCATATGGACAGCGCCTGCGGAATTTGCACGGCCGTCAATGGGGAACCGGGGGGTGGGCCAACAATCCTGCCATCGTTTGGACGGCTGAGATCTGCTGTCGTCGTCTGGGGTCAAAAGGCAGCGTCTCACAGCCCCATTCGCTGCAGGGCCTGGCGAATCAGCTCCCCAAGGCACCTCTTCAGCCCACAACCACGTCCCGCTCGCCACTGCGGCTATCCGTTCTGTCATGTACCCAACCGCCATTGGCCTCGCACTCGAACCCTAAAGAAAATATGGCCATATTCAAACGTGGCTCGCCGTCATCCCGCGTATTCTGCTTCTCGTAGCCGAGACGCTCCGTTTGAAGCTAGGATCATGAGTTCGCTGATCAGGGCTGGTCCTGGTCGCGTGAGTGGTCACGAAGTCGAGCCGGGATACATCTGCGTCCCTCATTGTGACCTAATACTATCAAAGGGCAGTGCCTAGAGTTGGGGTCTGCGCCGCAATATCGATGCTGTGGAAAAGTGGGTATGGTTGATCCTGCCCGCGGTTGGAGACGTTTGTGTCGTCTTGTGCAACGTCCATAAGCGCCGTGCGAGTTGATCTCTGCAACTACTGGCGCAGCCTTCCAAATGTCATACCCATTGCAGGCACAGTAAGCGCACTCAGTATACTTTTAATTAAGCCGAAGGGCATGCCTGAGGGGCACGTAAGCGATGCGTTGTTGCTCCCTCAAGTAGCGCTTCGGGTGTTTAATAGCAACGCCGTCACTGCACGCCCTGGCCAACAAGGCCCGGAAGCAAAGTAAGATGGAGATCGCCGAGACAAAGCCCAGAGCCACACGGTTGCGGGAGAAGCTTGGCCGTGGGCGTTGCCCGCAGTGGACCAGGCCAACTATGTGCTGGTCGCCAGGTCGGGAAGGCCTGGCTACCCAGCTATGCCTCATACATACATGAACAACGTCGAGCCCTCCCCATTCTCCACGGTCACCTGTAAGCATCACGCCACTTCCTCTTCAATGCTGTCTTGAAATGGTCAAATACTCGGTATCATATGCCTGACGATTGCAAGATCGACACTCTCTTACACATGCTTTGTCGAATCCACTCACACTGGTAGTACGTATGCCGACCTAATCGGCCCGTTGCTCTACTGCAACATTCCTTCCGCTAGGCATCACTCACCTCTTCCGAATGCCAATGTGCTTGGGGAATTCCTGTTGAGAACCCTGTTTTCTTGATGTAGCTGTCTTTTTGACTTCCGGTAGACCTACTCTGGGGAGGATGAGTGAAACGTGTGTCAACACCCACACTCTGTGTAGGCAATCAGCAGATTGAATATACGTAGGCAGTCGTTGAGTAGACTCGGCTGTCTTCTCTGCTACCTTCTTTTCAATCGGTGGGTCGCCAGTGGGATCACAGTACGCTGCCTGTCGTCGCCCAGACCAGTTCAATATGATCACTCACATGGGAACTGACCGTGTGATGGCTTCGGTCTAGATTTGATATCCTCCAACTCCTACCACTGTCTCCTCACCTATCACCTTGGCTACGTTTATTGTCTTTTTCCCTCCCTGGTCTTGTGAATGTCATGAACTCGATTGATTGGAACGAAAAAGACGCACCCATCAGCGACGTCAATATAGTTGATGATGGCGTTAAGCAAAACACTGGCATGTGTAGTCCAACTGCCGCGACTATTTCGGCCGCTTTTTCGGTACCAATGTGGAACCTGAAATCTGGTGTATGAATGTGGTAAAGTCGAAAAGTGCCACATCCAAGAAGCTAGCTACATTGACTGGAGCCCCACGTACTACTTGTGATATTTGAAAATTGTTTGGTTTTACAGAACACTCAAGATCAATCAGAGTGAAATATTGCTATATGTGTATCATAGAAACAGCCCCTCATGTTGCGTCACGGTGAGTTGTCTACCAAAACCGATGGACCACGATTTTTGCGAGCTTGAATCGACCCAAGCGTCGCCAGTGAAATTGCTTTGTATTGCCCCATCACCTACTCGAGTATAACAAAGCCAATTCCTATTTCCTCGCCTTTGTTGCTAACATATTAAATAGGGGCAGATTAGATGTTGCGAGGGTTGCGTTAAAACACCTCAGTCAGATATCGTACAGTGATCACACTCAGATTCTTGAAGTGATATCTGCCTGACTGAAGTAGCGCCTCTTGATTCCATGATACAAACGAAATAAGAGCACTTTATCTTTCTTCGTATCTCTATAGCCTTCAAACTGGCTCTTTTGAGTGATTTATCCCCGAGATAGCAGACCTCACCGCGGGTATCTCACCTTCACCTTGAATGTCAGTGCACCACTTCACGGCTCATTTATCACCACGTCTTTTACTCCAAAATTCACACTGCCAACATAAAACACACACAACACGTTTTCTTTGAAATTCAATACACCACTACGTGGCACTGTACAGCAGTAAAGCAGCGAATCGTTATACATCTACACCATGGATTTCCCACATTTCCAACTCCAAGCAGGATTGGCGGCGACCATGTTCTCGCCAGACGTAGTGCCAGCGCTTTGGGGCCAGTTAGACGACTCAAAACAAGGTATCCATCAAACCCCCCCCGCAGCCACCCTTGAGAGACATGATGTGAGAGAGAGTGTTGGCGATAGTAGCTCAGAACTTCGTCGACCGGCTCGCAAGAGCAGTGCGAGGTCGCTTTCGAGTCTTTTCAGGCGCAAGAAGCGCGACAATAGCGGCGTCTATAGTGGCAGCCAGCTATCGATTGTTTGGAGCTCTGAGCATGAGGACAATGACGCCACCGACATGGGTGAGCGTCCTCAGTTGGATGATGAGACTCTGTGCGAGGAAACTACAGAAGACTTCGGTCAACAAAGTAAGTGGCTTCTACAACCTGAATGATCTGAACTAAACTAGCCGCAGAAGAGGTCGAAACCTCCAAAGACCGCGGACAGCTTCAAGCACTGTCTCCTGAACAGTTTGCTGCTTTCGCGGAGGAATTCGTCACTTCCAACGAGGAAGACATCGACACACTTCATGATGACCACTCGGTGACCGAAGAAGCAAGTGAGAGAGACAACAATCTCTCAGACCGCGGCCGTGTCCACAAGCACCAAAGATTCGAATCCCTCCGCGTCAACTTCTCACACGAGGAAGTCCGCCGCATCGCCCAAGAGATCTACGACAAGACTGTCGCCGAGGTCAACCTCTCCCTCTTCAGCTACTGGATCAACGAAAGTAGCAAGAACTACGAAGAAGCCAGTCTGCACATCCGCGAGCTGCGCCTCGACCACGTATCTATCAAATCCTCCCCAATTCCATCAATTTTTCACTAAGAAACACACAACGCTAACATATGCACTGTTTGATAACAGGGCTACAACCTCGCACGTATCACCAACCCACACCTCCGCACATTGATGCAAGAAGTATTCACCCAACGCCCCATGTATGCCAAACCCCTCACCCACCTATACCTACGCAAGAGCCCAGGAATCCGGAATCTGCGTGACCCAGGCACAACCTGGTGTCACAGAAGATTCCTCGGGACTCTCTGAACCTCTCACGCACCCACATTTGCCTCTCTCTGTCTGCCCGAAACCTCGACCAAACAGAGCGCTGCAAATACTCTAGTCAATTGCCGAAACTAACGCATATGGTGTACAGAGAAGCCCGCATCGCGCTGCAAGAACGAGCCTCGCGCAGCAACTTGAGCGTCACCACTAGCTCGATGCGCAGTGGTAGTAAAGGCGATTTCTCCGTCTTCCCGCGCATCGATGCGCTTCCGCCAATCCTGCGTGTCGAACGGCAGCGTGCCATGAGTCAGGCGGCACAGCGCTCGACGTCGCTGGCGTCGATGGCGTCGGAGCTTAGGGTTTACCCACCAAACAGTACGTCTCCCTTTACCATCTCATACCATGTGCTTGGTAGCCTTCTATCACGCATGGCTTTCTGCACAATATGTACTGATGAGAAATAAATATATAGCACCTGATCGTCCGTTGCCGCTTACGCTGAGATCGCCGACTACTAACTCAACGCTGAGTACGCAGCCGACGCTGCCATTTGGGTTTCCGTCTCCCGGGGCGCCTGTTCAAATCAGCGACGGTGTGTACTCGGGTTTGACTTCGTATACGGGGTCACTTTGCGACGACGATGGTGACGGTAACAATGACGGTGTTGAAGAAGTAGATGAAGAGGCTCTCTGGCACGAACGAGTCGCCGATGTTGTTGAGAGCGTCATGGTGCTAGAAAAGCCGGACCAGATCAACAAGGTGATTGAAGAATTGGAGGGGCTCAAGTCTTTGTACTTGTAGGTTACTCTCGATACAACCATTCTAAAGTACGTACGCGCTGGGAATCGCATATCAGGCGATTGCATGTATAGACTCACAAGTCAACGGGCACAGTATAGCTGGTAGTAGAGCACACATACAATTATGCACAACAATACCTTCTCCCCCAATTTCCCCGGATGAACCCCACTTCTTCTCCTCCAAACTCTCTTGTTCGATTCAGCGCCGTCGTCCGTCTGCTAAACCCAATATGGGGAAACAATCTGTGCTCCATCTAGAAAACGATGGAAGCGGCGTCATGTGCGGAGAATATACGTCTAGCGGCCATAACAACGGACGCTAGAAAGTATTAGCGCATCTACACTGCGATAAAGCATCATCTAGTACGAAATGCATTACAACGTTTTCTTCCTTTTAGGCAAAAACGACATCCATTCTCCATCTACGTACAGCGACATAGAGCCCTCCATCTCCAGCCCAAACCTCTATTTTATTCACCCTCTTACATAGCAACGCAACTCACCACATAACCACCCCATCCCCATCATCACCAAACAAAAACCCAGACGCTTCATTCCCTCACCATCTCAATCTAGACTACACAGCAAACCCACCCGCCAAGCCCGCACCCTAACCCAAGAACAGGAACCGTAATATCCGCAGTACTGCCACCGCTTAAGTACACTCTCCACTCGCCGCCCATCCATACCCTCTTCGTAATCCAACCTACCTACTTGCCGAAGCAAAAAAAAACAACCCTTGAAAGCGGTGAAACCGTCAAAACACCACTGCACACACACACATACCCCCGGTGTTGCGACGTTTCCCATCGACATTCAACCGCCAAAACACGCGGAATAAGCACTCTACTAACCTTATCTCCACGCACATACTCTTACCACCAACCAACCAACCCCGTTCAAAACAGTTATTTAACATATACAAGTACAAACTTGATTTCTATAGTGCTTATTTTGAACCCCTCCCCCCCTTCCTTCGGAGGCGGGGGGGGGGGGGGGGGGGGGGGTGGGCGACGCAGGTTTCACGTATACTTCTATCTCACGTGCGGGTAACCACTCGCCCAATGTAAAATAAACTCGGTTGAAATACTTGACATATGTGGTTATTTGTAAAGGGGTGGGTGACGTGCGCGCAACGGAATCCCACGAATGACGGGGCTGGAATCGGGCCGGGTCACTTTGTTTTGGTTTCGTTTTGTGGAGAGATACAAACGGGTGTGGAGCATGCTTTTTTCACGGGATTGAGGAGAGGGTGTGGGGTAGGGTGGGAAATACGGGGTAAAGTAAATTGAACGGACGGATGTATATAAGGCTTTCGCGAAGCTTTTGTCTTTTTTGCTTGTCTGTTTTTTTCTCTTGTGTGACCTTAAAGACGCCCAACGGGACTACGAAGAGACGTTTTTGTTTGATAATTGTATATATTTTAAAGAGAAGCTTGAGTTCACAAGATGAAGTTTCTTATTTCGCTCTTGGCTTGCGGTTCAGCGGCTTTCGCTGCGCAGTTAACTCAAGTCTCAAACTATGGGGGTTCGGCGAAGGCGAGACCGGGAATGTAAGTATATCAACTACCAACTACCTCTCTCATCCTACCACCCCATTTCTTATCTTGCGGCTTCGTTAACATTGTAATACAGGTACGTCTACAAGCCTGACCAGGTCAAGACCGATGCGCTCGTTGTAGCCATCCATCCCTGCGGATCTACCGGCCAGAGCTACTTTGGCTGGGCACCCTGGAAGAAGGGCTCGGATTCCAAGGGCTACATTACCGTGTTTCCGAGCGCGACGGCGTCGTGCTGGGATGTATCGAGCAAGGCGTCGCTGTCGCGTGGTGGTGGCGGCGAGTCGAACGCTATTGCGGACATGATTGCGTATGCGACTAAGCAGTACAACATCAACCCCAAGAAGGTTTACGTGGTGGGAGAGTCGTCCGGTGCGATGATGACGAATGTCTTGGCCGCGACATATCCCGATCTTATTGCTGCGACTTCGGTGTACTCTGGTGTCGCCGCTGGATGCTTTGTGTCGGCTTCTGGAGCGGTGGCGGCGTGGAACAGTGATTGTGCTCAAGGACGCTCCATCAAGACTGCGCAGCAGTGGGGTGATATTGCGCGCGCAATGGATCCTGGCTACAGTGGATCGCGTCCCCGCGTTCGTAAGTGGATTTGTGCTTCCCCGAGGTGTTACGGTTGCTGACTTTTGCGTAGAATTCTGGCACGGCTCTGTTGATGCCACCATCCTCCCACCCAACTACAACGAGACCCTCAAGCAGTGGACCAACGTGTTTGGAGTCAGCACTACGCCTACAAGGTCGCGGGCCAACACCCCCCAGACCAACTACCGCACCGATGATTTCGGTTCCAACGTTCAGGGTATCTGGGCAGTCGGCGTCGGACACGGTGTCCCAGCTCACCAAGCCCAGACTGAGGCCTGGTTCGGATTGTAAAGGTCGTATTCTCTTGCGATATGAATAGCATACTTCATGTACATAAGTAGTCAAACACATAGGCCGTAAATATTGATCACCTTCCCAAGCTCTGACTCTCACTTCTTCTATGGGTTTCCTTTGGTACTTCTAGAGTGTCTCGTCGTTTTGGTGCTCGGGCGGAACTAGAATCCAGTCGCGGCGTTTCTGGTACGGGTGGTGGTGAGCTGGGTCCGATATCTGATGTAGACCGAATGCTTGCCGCATATGTGCTGCTGGCTCTTTCCCGCATCAGATCATAATTGCGACTAGTGGTCTCGAGGTTTGGGTTACGCCATATTTCTCCGGGTACCTCTGGGAACGATCGTGTCGCCTCGTTGGTGCTGTTTTGCTCCAAGTCAAGCTTTTCGTGTGCAGCGTCGCCAAGATAGTTACCGGCAGAGGTCAGCCATCTACGGACTTTGTGTCTACCGGCTGTCGGGTGATCATCTGGCTGAGTATCCTGACGGTCCTCCGGAAGGATTCCGCGTATTTGATCGCCATCGTCCCCTGGATGCGTAATTGTTGGGATTAATGAAATATCATTGGGCGACTCTGAGCGTATACCCAGAGCATTGACTGGGAGGTTTGAATTTGAATTGGAGTTCCTCTGTGGCAGTGGAGTTGGACATTGTTCGCTGCTATGACTGTGACGTGAAGAGCACGAATGCTCGCATTGTGGTATGTGCTTCTGTTCGGTAGTCTCTTTGCCGCTGGTTGACCATAGTAGATATAAAGATCCAAAGGCACCGAGGATTGTACCAGCTATAGGTGACCACTGCCCTGCATAGAATGTTAGATAAGGCTGTCAGGCTACTTAGTGCCAGGTAGTGCCACTTACCAAAAGACCCCATGGGTTCGGTCATGTACATCAACTGAGGGCTGAAGAAGTTTGCTTCGCCGATGCCGATAATGGTCAGTATAACGCCACCAAAGAGCGGGATCTCAATGACGGTCAGAAAGGATCGCACAAGGTCGTTGATATTTCTCATCTCTCCGACTGTCATGTTGGCGCCTTCAATGCGGGCATTGAGCTCTTCGACATGACGACGTCTCTTCCAATTGGTTTCCAGGACCTTGTCCCATGTGAAGATCAAGGACAGGATGGCTGGTATACAGAACCCTGCTGCCAAGAGCATACCGGCATTAAAGGTCAGGATCCGTGGCACAGGAACAACATAGACATCGGCTGCAGCTCCGCCTCGCAGCGGCGACCTTGGGCCTTGTGTTTCAGAGCAGGTCAAATTGCAATTGGGCTGCAGTTTCAAAAAAGCGGCAGTTCCTCGGGGAGAGTTTGCGTCGATGGGAATGTTGCAGTCGGTCGGCGTCACACGGTAGAACTCAACGCACAGGGCCAATAGGCCCATGAGGATTAGAATGGTCCACAAAAAAATAATGTTCCTTCCCGGCGTGTAAAAGTAGGTGCGCGACAGTCGCACCGTGAGCGGAGCGGCCAAGATGCCAATTGCGCACACTTGAAAGGCACCAAAGATGTCCAAATCAATTCCTCCTGGTTACGTCACATGTCAGAACAGGCATCGCCGTGGCTCTTGGGGGTTCTTGGGAGTTGCAGTACTGACCATTCTGGTGCGCAGCTGCGAGCACGATGCCTTGGATTGCCGAGATGGCGGGGAGGATCAAGACGGCAGCCAAGCACGTGTTCCGTAACCATTCAGCTTTGCGAAATGTCACACATGCGGCAACGAGGACATAGTATAGGATCTGGATGCGGGCGTCAGTTGTTGGCTGGGCGGGAAGGTATGTTGACAGGCAGGTGGGGGGTGGGTTACTGACACGCGACCCGGCGCCGTAGTTGGAAGATATGGGCCAGGCACAGACGACCTTGAAGGCTGCGCTAGTTGGGGAAGATTGAGCAGAAGAGGCGATGGTTGCAGTGGTAGGGGTGGCAATGTCGGGGATTGTTGAGGGCGCTGACATGTTCACACCGTATGTTCACCGCCGGAGGAGCAGATGGAGACCATCGTTATGTAGGGGGCACAGAAGAGCGCAGCACAAAAAGGAGCCGCAATGGCATTACCAACTGGCCTAAGCAGGCAGACGCCGGGCCAGTGAGGCGGCGGTAGTAAATGCCAATGCTCTGGGGAAAACGCATCATTTACCGGTGAGTGTTTATGGCTGCATAGGGCGAAGCGTGGCTGAGCGGCCAGCATGACCTGCCTGGGCAGTCAATTCCACTCACCTTTTGCTTCCGAACCCAACTCATGATGCGAGCCCCTCTGACGGAGCACAGCCGGCCGACACGACGTCGTGAAAACAGGAAAAGATCGGTGCGCATTAAAGGAGTCCGGCCCAGGTGAGAAGATGGGTTGCATCATTGTGTTCTTCTCGCCACCCTGTTTGGATGACCAGCCTCCGATCCTTAGCCCTGGCAGCCCAAGACCGACGATGCAGGCGGGCGGTGCATGAACCCTCTCCAGTACTGACGAAGCGGGCGCAGTCACAGTATCTGACTACCCTCTAGCTAAAGCCCAGCTACATACACACCCACTTGACCACCGTCGCACAAACTTCTTGGTATCCCTTGGCTGCCATGCTTCAACTCACAAATTTTGGCCCTCAACAGTGATTGCGCGGTGCCATCTTAGCCCAACGCACCGGCTCCCGTCCAACGCTTCTCACCCGTCCATCGGGCCTACTGCCCTACTGGAAAAGCTTAGTCGCACGTACATATCTGCACACTACTACCCTTTCTTTTTGTTTTTCTTTGACTAGAATCAACTCGCAGTGCGCACTTGGCTTTCTCGTAGCCGTCGCAACATGCTTGTCCTACGTGCGACGACGGAGCCAGAGAGGCCCAATCTGGACACCAACGAAATCAAGCAATGGCGCTCTATCGTCACCCTCATTGTCTTTGTTCTGACAAGTAAGTCGACTATGCATGCTGACAGCTGCACACACCCAGCTAACTCTAGATGCTTATAGACATTAATGTCTTGTTCCCTTTCCACATACCCATATACATACCGCGGCCAATCTGGACTCTATGCCTCAACACTGTTAGTGCAATGCGCATCATACCACCACCCCAGCATCCAACCAGAGTGCGGAATGGCCGACCCGGTGCCTTTGTGCGATTCAACTTTCCCATGAATTTCATCACGGCTCCCCTGATAGCTGATCTTTTCCTGCTCGCTATCCTGGCCATTGGAGAAAAAGAAGTACGCGGTGGCACTGTTGGTGACCAAGGCATCGTCCCCTATGACATTATGCTCTTCTTCCTCTCGCTCGCCTACATTGCCATTTCTGTCGATGCCTCTGGTTTGATCAGATGGTTGGCTTTCAAAGTTTTGCAGAAAGGAGGAAAAGTAGGTCACAGGCTGTTCTTCTATCTGTACGCCTTCTTCTTCGGACTCACAGCTCTCATCGGCAATGATCCTATTATCTTGTCCGGCACTGCTTTTTTGTCTTACATGACTCGTGTGTCAAGCAACATCAAGCATCCAAGAGCGTGGATCTTCACCCAGTTCTCCGTGGCTAATATCGCATCCGCAATCCTCGTCTCCTCCAATCCAACCAACCTTGTCCTCGCGGGAGCGTTCAAAATCACCTTTATCAAGTACACCGCGAACGTCATTGTTCCGGTCCTTGTGACGGGTATCGTCCTGTATCCATTTTTGCTGTACATCATCTTCCATGACGAATCTCTCATCCCACCTGCGATTAAGATGGAGGACCTTCCAGAGGAGCTCAAGGTAAGGATCTTCGATGATTTTCATGGCCATAACTAATCTGAACGCGACAGAACAAGAAGCCAGTGAATCCAAACATTCCATATGCCAAAGGTGGACTTGAGGACAGCGAGGTTGACCCTAACAGCGACGACGAGCAAGAAAAGAAACAGTCTCTGGAAGAAGTCTTGAACCCATTCCTCGACAGAAAAGGCGCCATGTTCGGAGCGGTTCTCATGGCAGCCACTCTAGTCACCGTGCTTGCTCTCAACGCAGCGTCTACAGGCACGCACGAGCGCCCCGTCTTTTGGGTTACTCTACCCGCTGCATTCATCATGCTCTGCTTTGACCTCACAATGGGCTGGCTTAACCGAAAGGAAACACGAAGAATCGCGCACGAAGGCCGTCAAAGAATGGAGACCGCACTCGCAGAAAGAGAAGAGGCAAGGAGAATGTCTGTTGCACAAGTGGATCAAGATGCAATAACTCCACGCCCCGTCCAACGCGAAAGCCAGGTCCTGGAAGAGAAAGCGCAACCAATAACAGATGATGCCAGCCACACTACAAGTGGAGAGCAGCAAATAACACCCTCATCATCCGCCGAGCCCATGCCCCGGTCAGAAGAAAAACTCGAACCAACCAAAAAACCCGTTCCCACGACCCTCACCTCCCTCATCAACGACGCCTACATGTGGGCCCAAGAAACCTTCCCAACAACAATGACCGTATTCCACCACCTCCCCCTCGCCCTCGTCCCTTTTGCTTTCTGCATGTTCGTCCTCGTCCAAGCCCTCGTAACCAAAGGTTGGGTCCCCGTTTTCGCCTATGGCTGGGACCACTGGGTCGAGAAGACAGGGACGATTGGTGCAATTGGCGGTATGGGGTTTGTTTCTGTCATTTTGTGTAACGTGAGTTTCCCCCCTTTCCCCTCTCAAGAGAACCCGTGAAAATAAGGATGGAAGGAGGTTGAAATGGCACCATGAGGATATCGCTGACGCAAAATACAGTTTGCCGGCACAAACATCGGCACCACAATCCTCATCTCCCGTGTCATCCAAGCGTGGGAAGAAATTCACCGACAGAATGGACGACCGATTTCTGATCGCACCTTTTGGGGGACTATCTATAGGTACTTACCTCTCCTTTCCTCTCCACTCTTCCAAAGAACAAAAAGCTAACACTTCCTCAGCATGGCCATCGGCGTAAACTACGGCGCCTTCAGCCTTGCCTTCAGCGCCTCCCTCGCGGGCATGCTCTGGCGCGACATCCTCGGCCGCAAACACATTCGCGTCGGCGGTCTCGAATTCGCTCGCGTCAATCTACCCATCATCGCCATTACCATGGTCGTCGGGCTTGTTGTGCTGATTGGCGAGATTTATATCATCAGGGACAATAAGCCTTACTCGCTTGGTTGAAGTCTGCTCGAGGAGAATGTATTTGCAGAGTTTTATATTCAGGTGGGGGATTGTTTAATCTAGAAAGTATTCGCAAACGCGAGACTTGGCTAGATGAAAGAAGATTGGTAACAAGATAGGCTGGAGTCGCGGAATCATCTCACGTACCATCCTGCTTTCTGCAAAAAAAAAAGCAAATGCGGAAATGAGGACTCGTCGTGATGTACGAGATGGGCGATGACACAGTTCGAAAATTCGAGGAGAAGCAGCGGCGCCGAAGAGATGACAATGGGAGGAGCAGGAGAGGAAATAGAGAAAAGGGAATTTGGGTATAAATACGTACGTGGTAATGATTAAAAAAAGGTTAGACTGGGATAAGGGGGTATAGACTTGAATTAACATCGCAACTTCAACGGGATCATGCTTTTAAATGTGTATTTGACTTTGTTATCTCTATACTATTGTGTAAAAACATGCCTATAATACGCCTCCGTCACCCAAGCACAAACTTTAAAAAAAAAGGGGGCGAGAACCGCATATCATCGGCACTTAGCACGGTCAAATGCAAGATATAATAAAAAGGGTTATTCTCTAGTTATTTCTCCTCTCCACCTCTCCACTTCACCCCTCTCCTCAAAACAAAAGCAAAACACACATTATATATAAACTCCGTCCGCTGCCTTCCAAAGTCCAACCCCCATACTCCCTTACCCATTAAAGAGGGGGAAAAAAGAAGAAAAAAACGCCAAAATCTCAAAACCCTTCTTTTGTATTGTTCCCCAAGTAAACCCTAAAAGCGGGGGGTTTCAGAAAACTCCAAAGCAATGTAAAAAACCCCGACTTATGACCCCATCAAGACCCCCATGACTATTTGTATACGAGATAAGACATATGTATATATAAAGAAAAAAAGGGAAAAAATTTCTTTTTTCGCAATAAGGAAACACATGCTCTCGCTCGACGGTATGGAGAAAACGAAAAAAAAAGCAGAAGAAAAGGCGATTCGTCCAAGGAAAAGAGAAGAGGAGCTCAGTAGTGGTATCATGCGCAACAAAAAAAATAACGAAAACTCAGAAACGCTCAAGTCAAACACGGCGGGGAAAGAAAGGAGAGAAAGAATCAAGGTACGCGTGTTTATCATCTAGCAGGCGACGACGTCATGGGTGACGGCGCATCCGCATCCTGAGCAACAAGACCATTAGCCCCGCGTTGTTGTGCAGCAAACGGCTTTGCATCTGTCATTTTCGCCAGCGCTTTCGTAGTCCCATTTGCCGCCGAGAGATCTGCGACTGAATTCGGGGGCGTAGTTTCCGCCTCTTCGGGGATCGTCTGGCAGTAAGTCTTGAGCACGTGTTTGAGCGCTGGACGACGAATCGGCTTTGAGAGGAAGAAGTCCATGCCTGAGTCGAGACATTCTTTGACGTTGCTTTCTTCTGCGTAGGCGGTGAGGGCGACAATGGGGGCTGAGAAGCCGGATTGGCGGATGAGACGTGTGGATTGGAGACCGTCGAGGTTGGGCATTTGGACGTCCATGAAGATGAGGTTGTAAGGGGCTTGGCGCTCCATGCTTTCTTTGACCTTGTCGAGAGCTTCCTGGCCGTCCTTTGCAACGGTTACATCGTACACGTCTTCGAGCTTGAGCATGCGCAAGACGACTTCTTGATTGGTTTTGTTATCCTCGGCGACGAGAACCTTGACCTTATCACCGCGTTTCGTTGCTTCGGCCTCCACGCGCTTCATAGCTGCCACCTGCGAGTTTGGCGACTCCAACGGCTTGTTCGAAGCAAAGAAGGGATGACTGAGACCAACAAGACGGGGTTGGTTGTCCGACTCAAAGGACACTGGACCCGGTGGT